CTCAGGTCCCTTCCGACCCTACCTACTATGAAACCACGAAACTATGAAGAGTCTGCAAGAGGGAAGGACTTCTGTGGGCGATAGCTTTTCCTGGACCAGCTGTATGACTGGGACAAATGTAGACAAGCTTTCAAATGTAGCATATTCTTCTTCAGGTTGGAGGTAAGAGCAGATGGTTAATCTAATAAAAAATATTACCCACAAAAATCCTTGTCTCACATTTGCTTTGTTTGTGACTGTGTCCCATTGCTGCCTCAGTATTGAATCTGTGCTCCCCCAAGTCCCCCAGATCCTTCTCAGCAATGCTGCTACTGAGCCAGTTATTTCCCATTCTGTATTTGTGCTTTTAGGGTGCAAACAGAAGTGCAGCTCCCTGCTGTAACTGAACAAACAGAAGTTCACCATTTGTTCCAGGGGAATCTAGCTGCTGGCTGGGAGCCTGCAGCCAGAGGGAGTTCATTCTAGGAGTTCCCTAGCTGACGCTGGAAGATGGGGTGGGTGAATTGGAGCCCTCTCCCCCAATTATTCTCCCCAAGGTGTAGCATCTTACATTTGCCTGTGTTGAATTTAATTGTTGTCTCTAGCCCAGCTTTCCAATCTATCAAGATCTTTTTGAATTCTACTCCTATCCTCCAAAGTGTTTGCAGTCCTCCTGAGTCTCATGTCATCTGCAAACTTGATCAGGAAGCTCTCTGTGCCATCATCCAAATTATTACATGTTAAAAGGTACTGGAATCAAGACAGACCCCCATGGAAATGCACTTGAAACCTCCTGCCATTCTCACATTGATCAATTTGTAATTACTCTTTGCTTGTGCTATTGAGGCAACTGCATATTCACCTTGCAGCAATTTTATTTAGCCCACATTCCACCAGCTTCCTTATCAGAATGTCATGTGGGCCTACATCAAGAGCCTTACTAAAAGCCTTACAAAAGAAGACCTTGAAGACTAAAGAAACACAAGTTCCCTAAGGCGCTCTGCTTTTGAGCACCCTAATGTAATACCGGATTTAACTAGAGTTCATTTTTCGCGCAATTGGCCATTTCTAAGCGCTCTGCAGCCATGCATGTTGTCATGACTACAGAGCGCATGAAAACTGTCACTTCTGTCTGTGCCCTCAGTGGTAACCGCTAATTTGAGAGCCCATCATTGGATATGGATAGTTAGGATTGTTGCTTTCCCTGTGTGCATTACCTTGCCGTCTGTTACTGTATTGTCAGTTGCTGCATGCAATGAGATCTTTCTCCACACACATACTAAGCCTCCCACTCCTCCCCCCCACCAGTGTCTATTCTCAGTAGGGCTGTGCAAAGCTTCAGTCCTTGATTCGATTCAGCAGAGATTTGGCCCAATTCAGTGGCCAAATCTTTGAATCCAAATCAAATCGGGATACCCTTTAAACTCTCTGAATCAAATCGGAAAGATTCGGACATAGACACAGCTTTAAATGTTTTTTTCTACATACTTCAATGTACCAGGCAGCTCGTGAATGCTATTACGGTGGGGTGAATGAAATGTACCACAGAAGCATGGGGGAATCCCCAGTGCGCTCGGCAGCAGACCCAGAAGTGGACCAGAAGCACTTCTGGTCCCTCCAAGGAGCAGGCGTGGGTCCCCCCTGTGCCCCTCCAGGCTCGACGACTGGGGCCTCCTGGGTTTAGTGGGGGCACTCAGGGTCCCCCCACGGCCGATCACTGAGCTGAGGGGGGCGTGGTGGGCCCCCCCGTGTGCTCCCCCTGGTGGACACAGAAATGAACTGGAAGTACTTCTGGTCCACTTCTGGGTTCACCGCCGAGCATGCAGGGGGCCCTCACACTCATGTGGGACACTCCATCCGCCCCAGCATCACGAGTCACACCTGGTACCTCGAGGTATGTAGAAAATACATTTAAAGCTGTATCTATGGCTGAATCACTGATTCTCTGAATCAGCATTGAATCTTCAGATTTGGATTCAGTCAAATCGAATCACGGATAACGATCTGAATGAACGAATCGTATCACTGTCCCCGATTCAGGCTGAATCCGAATCGAATACAGCCTGTTTCGCACACCCCTAATTCTCAGCCTTCTCCCTCTCTAACCTCCTCTGCAGATTTTGTTTCACCACGAAATAGTGCAGCAGCTCTTGGGCTTTGCCATTTATTTTAAACAAGGGACTGATGGCAGGGCCTTGTGCAACTTATCTAGTTTGTTTCACAGCTGGTTCAGTACAACTTGTTGGGTTGTGGATTAAGGGAGAGGGTGGAAGGAACCACTGGGGGGGTGCTCTTTCCTCTCCTAGTTTCTGCAGCATTTTCTTGCCAGCATATTCCAAAGGGGTCACTGATCTTGAGTGTCCAACACAAGAACCTCAGCACCCAGCACCTAGACTGCCAGCTGAACTCAATAGGCGCTAGCATGTTTGTAAGCAGAGCTTAGAGGATGTTAAGGCTGGTGCCCAAAGCCATCTACATTCCCTTTTGCCACTAAATTGTTTACATACATGTATGATGGACCTAGCTACTTTCATGTGTGGTTCTACTTGCAAAAGTAACAAGCTGATTAAACATCCCTGTCTTACTTTACAGAAGCTGAGGTACTATCTGTTACCAGCCAACTCTAGAGTTGAAAGAGACAAAGAGACTTTGTTTGAGTCCCTTATATACGTATATGATCACTTAAAATGGGAAGCGAGTGGAAAACTTTGCTCCAAACCCTCTCAGAAGCCATCACAGCCCAAATGAAAAACAGCAGGTAAAGGCAGTCCTCGGACTTATGACACAATTGGTTCCTGAAAACCATGACTTAAGTCAAAACATTGCAACTCGGAACCAATTTTCCCATAGGAACAATGTTATAAATGGGGGGTTGGTTCCTGAACCAAGCCCTGATACCCTATTTTCACCAAAATTAACCAAGAATTTTGTACTCAATCAATTATAGATGAGTAATATAGCTACATTAATGTATTTATATTGTAAATAGCAATCATATTGATTTGGAAGAGCTACTTTTAGGTGACTTTGCTGGACTTTTTGAAGGGTTCTTGGCTGGAGTTCTCTCAGGAGTCTTGGCTGCAGGTTTTCATGGAGTCTTGGCTGCTTTCTTAAAGAAAGTGTCCAAGGAAGTTTGGACAGATGTTCTCCAGGGAGATGGGCGATGCACCAAACTTGTTTGCTGGTGTGGGGTCGCATCAGATCAAGCATTGTAAAGTCAAAACTGACATCAAAAAGTTGAAACAGGGTGTCAATTTATGTTGGAAGTGCTAAACATTGCAACTCGAAACATCAGTCAAAGACTGCCTGTATCCTTAAACCTGATTATGCTGAAAAGACCATCTGAAAGGGAACCTCACTTAGAAAATTTGCACTTCCAGATGTCTCAGCATCAGCTCTGTGGCTCAAGAAACAAATCATTCCAGCACCTCATTCCAGTTTGCTCTGCAGGGGCAACATAGCAAAACAAAAATCTACCTTGGCCTATCTATTGCCAGCAGACTTGTTCCGAAAGCTCTCTGAGCAAAGCCAAATGTTACTCTTGGTTAGTAGCAGTGACAGTGCAGCTGCACAGTAATGGGCAAGGACACCTTTGGGACTGCAGAACTTTTCTTGCTAATGTGCAAGGCAGGAAGAACCCACATGACTGGTGAGGCAGACCCACACCTGGTTTGTAATTACAACAAATTGGACCCAGAGACCATGAGGCCCAAACAAGCAATCTGAAGCCTACCTGGAAGAAGACTACTGCTTAAAAAGAGATTCATCTTAGACCATTGGCCAGCAATCTTTTCAAGCCACAGGCCAAACAGCCTGACTTGTGGTGCATCAGCAGTGGCGGATTGGCTTTCACTATGCCCTAGCTGAAGCCATGCAGCTGGGAGCTGCGCTATGCAACTGTCATTTCCCCCAGGCCCCCATTCCCCAGCTGCAGCGTGAGCACAACTTCTAGCCAGAAAGGAGTTACGCCAAAGTCAGGGAGCTGGAAAGTGCTTCCATGCTTCTGCCACTTCTCCGTACCCCTGCCCCTCCCCACAGCCTGGCCCCAGCACAGCTCCCCTCCAGCTGCAAGCTGGACCCAGGATGCAGGCTTAGGTGGTGAGTGGGGTGGGGAGGACAGAGATAAGCAACAGCAGTGGGTACAGCTTCTAGCTCCTTGGCTCCCGTCTGGCTGGAAGCTGCACCCATGCCACAGCCTTGGGGAGGTGGGAAGGAGAGGGGGGTGCAAGGCACAGGGCAGGAAGAAGTGGCATAGGCATTAGCGATGCATAGGGGGTGCACGCAGGTGTGCACCCCCCCCGCTGACACCGCCACGGCCACCTGCGGGCGGTCCCTGCTCAGCCCACCCCCACTGCCAGCACCGCTGCAGCTGCCTGCGGGAGCTCCCTGCTCCCCGCTGCCATGCCCCCGCTGCTGACAGCCACCTGCAGGCAGTCCCTGTGCCCCACTAGCCTCCGGGGGCACGCAACATTCGTGGGCATGGGCACACCTTCCAGAATGATCCTACCTCAGGCAGGGGGTTAACTAGACAATCTATGGTGGTTCCTTCCAGTCTGACTTCTCCATGATTTCTTGGCCCTGGTGCAGCTCCTTGTTGCTTAGCCCCAGCGTGGGCATGGGTATAGACAAAGCCCTGCGGCTCTGCGGGCTGTATGTTAGCAATCCATCTTAGACCCTTTGTCCAGGTGAAATGTGAGGGAAGCCAGAGTTTTGCATTACAGTACCATGCATGCACAGAGAAGTGAGCAACATGGACAATCCAAACACGCCTAGGAAGAGACTTCTAGCTAAGCCAGACAGCAGGCCAAGCGTAATCATTTCTTCTGTTGTTTAATTCAAAATGAGCAAAGCAGGTCACATTTCGAACACAAGGCCTGCAACATTTTACAACTTTTTTTTGCTTTTAAATAATGCAGCAGTTCTGCCAACAGGAAGGGTGCAGAAGCTGTTTTTAAAAAAAGTCTAAAATCTGTATTTTGGGAGG